GGAGAGCAGGGCGGAAGGTCATATCTGGAGGGAATGGAGCTTTCTTGTTCCCATGAGTTCATTAAACTCTGTAGTTGCAGCTTCCTTCCCAGACAGGGCGCCACTCTGAGGGGAAACCTCTAGGAGGAGAAGCAAACTGAACAGGAGGTGGCAATAAAAGTGAGGATAGAAAAGGTCCAGATCAAGGTGAGGGGTGGGAAGAGGGTCCAGAAATCTCAACAAGCTAGCTATCGCATTTTAAAACACTACACAAAAGTAATAGAGGCAGTTACTGTGTGAACTTAGAAAGGTATCTAGATCAAGTTTATTTTTATTCCAAATAATTGATTTCACATAAAAATAAGCAAGACAAAAATGCCAAAATAAAAACCCCACATAAACCCAAACATATGCAATACATGCAACTAATAGAGGAAGAATATCAATGAGAAAAGAAAAAAACATAGAGTCCAATAGAAAAATGAGCAAAAATCATGAACAGACATTTCACAGGCAAAACATAAATGGCCTTTAACAAAGTAAAAATATGATAAACCACTTGATAATTTGGAATTTATAAATTAAAGCTAACATGAAAATTCTTTTTCATAAGCCAGTTTACTTTATAAGCAACTTCTTATTCATAAGAAGTTTATTCTGAAAATATTTTCAAAACTCTTGGGCACTGACTAGTAAGGTTTGAATATGTGTATGTATCTATTATGACCCAGTGATTCCCTTTCTAGGTATAGACTTTAGACAAACACTTGCTTGTGAGCACAAGGAATTATGTTTATATAAATGTTCATGGTAGTGTTTTTTGTAACATCAAAAAAACTAAAAACAGCCCACATGTCTGTTGCAGTCAAAGCCATAAGTAAACCGTGTGTGTGTGTGTGTGTGTGTGTGTGTACTCAGCTTTGTCCAACTCGTGACCCCACTGCAACCTGCCAGGTGCCTTTGTCCATGGACTGTTTCAGGCAATAATACTGCAGCAGCTTGCGATTTCCTACCCCGGGGGATCTTCTCAACCCAGGGACTGAACCCGTGTCTCCTGAATCTCCTGCACTGCAGGTGGATTCATCGCTGTGCTACCTGGGAAGCCCTGCAGTGCTTTTGTAAAGTGAAGCTACACAACTCTAACACACAAAACACAATGATATACACCAAGGTAGATGATTTGCAAAAATTTAATTTTGAATGAAGGAAATAAGTCACAGAAGAATATATATAATATGGCTCAATTTATATAAAGTTCAAATTCATGAGATGCTAAGCAATGTATTTCTAGGAATATATGTCCATGTGGTAAAATCATAAAGACAAGTAAAGGAATGCTTAATACAAAATCCAGGACCGTAGATATCTCTGGAAGTGAGGTTTGGAAATGTAGGGTTAGGAAAAGCCTCTATGGTCATTGAAGACTGAAAATATTCTCTTTCTGAATCCAGGTTATGGGTACATGAAAATTGATATTATTTTTTACTTATTATTTAATGTATATTTTTATACTCTTGAAAAAATATGATATATTTAACTATGATGCTTAAAAAATTATGGATTTGCTGTGAAGATAAAGTCGCACATATTTATGTTGACTGAGAAAATGAGATTGAATCACATACAAAAATAAGATTTGAATACTTCTTCCTATTTTAGTGCTTTCTGGATGTAATTAGAACATGGTGATGCTGATTCACAGTTCTGAATAGACTGTTCTGTAATCGCTGAGGGTGCTGAGTGACAAGTAGAAAATCATCTATCTAGATTGCTGACTAGGTGAATGGAGTGTTTTTCCTGTAACTGTATTAGCATACACAGAGCCTCGCCTTCGCGGTGAAGGTAATATATGGTCAGTTTATGCCATATGTGAGGTGCTGATAGGAAATACACATTATCTGTACACAGGAAGCAGTTTGATATCTCATTCTAGTACAGGGTGGAGCAGTATGGCCTAGAAATATTAATTAGAAAAACACACACCTAAAGAAAATATACCAAAGTAAACAAAGTTTTTCTGCAACAGAAGGAAGAAAAGAGATAGCAGTGAGATGGAAGAAGAATTAGAAATGCTTTTGGAGACCATTGAGTTTTTATGTGAACCATCTTAGAGCTAATAGAATTTCAACAAGGCTGAAGTTGTCTTAAGACTTTCATATTTTTAGAGATCTTTCTGTCAGTAACCTTCCCAGGTTTCCTTTGCAACATTTTGTTTATACCAATCTGCCTTATGACTATTACCTGTTAAACTCAGCTTACGGTTTAGAAGTTTACATGTAGCATTATAAGGAAATGTTTTTAAAAATTTTACATTTTCTTTCACAATGATTTCCTAACATTTATGGTTCCCAGATTGTAGCAAATTTTTCTAGAGGAACTATGAAATTCATTAAAAAAATTTTTTTAATCCTTTAGAAAGACTGAAAAGAAGTAAGAATTTTCAAGAAAAAAGTTTTAATCAGAAATTTGCTTTACCCTATATATAATTTCTCAAATAGCAGACTCATGGTTCGACTATGAAAATGCCCTGCTGGCATTCCAGTGCAACAGTGTCTGTAAACAGAGGAATTAGACATGAATGGCTTTTTTGGTACAATTAATACCTGATGTAAACCTATTTAATATTACCTGGAAAATCCAAGGGTCAATGCAAAATGAGTATCCTTTGAAATGCTTCTTAAAAAGAATGCTTTTTTTCCTTAATTCATTGAAATTTTCAAGCATTTTTTTTCTTTTGAAATTGAATTTTCAAAGCATTTAACCTTTTTCTATAGAACTTACTCTTCTGTAAACATTGAATAATTGAAAGGTTATATTTCTAATAGAAGTGATCATCCATCTAATTCCTGGTTTACATACATTGTCGTTGTGGATAAAGTGCTGAGATCTGCTGTCATGGTTTCTTCCTACAGTATGGAAGCCTTTCGAATTCAACTGAACAAACAATATACATTTATTGACACCAAACTATGCACAAAACACTTGGCTGAACACTTTTAGATATTTACCAATGAATAAGAGAGACCAATGAGTTGTAAAACTTAACACATAGACATTGTTATTTCTTCCTCCTGAAGTTAAATTTAGGATCAACAATGTTGTTTTTTTTTTTTGATAAGTATCTCAGTTGTCCTTAGAGAAAATTTATACCATTCTCAAACATTTAAGACAGTTTCAAAAGGTGAGTGAATGAGAAAGCTATTTATCTCTAAACACTTTTACTTTATCAGGAATTCCATATATTTCACCTTTAAAAAAGCAATTAAAAAATATATAGAATTGGTTGAGAATGATGTGGAAGTAAGAATAAACAATAAAATGTTGACAGCCCCAGTATGGCAACTGAAAAATTAAAAAGTACAAAGGACAAATATCCTTTACTCTTTGTCTCATTTAGTATCATTGTTATGATACAGGAAATTAATGCTCATAGTCATGAATTAGTTGTCAAAAAATGTTGTCATCATTTTTGATGACATCACTGTCATCAACAGTATGTCAGTTTTCAGCATGTTTTGGAACCAAAATACTCTTTTTCATTGTTTTAATTTTGATGGGGTTAAATTATTTGATTATCAAGAAAACTAACCATGTAGAGTACCTTACAAGGATAATACACTATGACTTCTTGTTTGTGTATAAAATTTATATATTTCCTTTTTAACATGTGGGAGAGACTTTGTGAATAACAAGTTGTTATTATAGGATTCTCATTTGAAGAGCTTTATGTATTTTTCCTTCAATTATATAAAATCTGTCTTCAGTAAATTTTATTCTTCCCATTCTTCTGCCATTTTCATAGGCAGAAATTGAGATATAATTTAAGAAATTCGTTGCAATCCTTCAACTAAAATGGATAGAACTTATTAATCATGTGAGTGATTAACAGGTTTCATAATCCTAGTTTTAACTATTTGAGCAATCTTTAATATGATCATGGTTAATTTTTTGTACTAAATAGTGGAATCAAACTTGTTTAAGCAAATTGGTGAGCTGATTATAAGCAAGCAAGGATATCTCCTAGAACCCAAGACGGGGTGAAGCTGAAACCACGTGACCAAAACGTGCTTTTTGTGCATCTGTGTCATTCTTTCCATTTTGCTGATCAGTTTTCTCTGCGCCTCTTTGCATTCGATGAAGACAAACATCCACAGCTCCTGGGTTTTCGTTATCATAAACTTTTCACGTAGAAAGACTGATGAGCTGTCTTAGTCCCATTTTTCAAGATAGAAACATTTGATTAGCCCCACATGGGGTAGGAGATTAACACCTGTTCTAACCCCGATGCCAAGGAAGCAACATGACTATGACAGTCTACCAGCCCTATTGATGGCGGTGGTCCTGTGATGGCAAAGAAGTAGTTCCTAGGGACAGGAAGCGAGTCAGGCGGTGTGGTCCTTCAATTCAGACAGCTGTGCGTGTGGGTAAGGTGACGGTTTCCGAAGCTGACTTTCCAGATTTATCCTCAGCTCTCCTGTGACTTGGTTGAGTGACTTGGTGTAAATCCTTAAACATTTTGTGCTTATTTTCTTTATCACTGACATGGGGATAATAATGTTATTGCAAGTCAACCATTTAGAACAGTTCCTGGTGACATCTTAAACGTTTGATACATCTTAGTTATTTTGTAATAGTGGTCAACTGTGGTGTACATTTATTTATCAAACAAATTAATCAAATTTTAAAATGACTCCTGGGACCTTCAATTCTTCAAAAATGGTATTTATAAGATGAAATGATCTTGCTTTTATTTTGCTAAGTCTGTTCAAAATATTGATAACAAGGAGAGAGAGAAGGAAGGTTTTATTATAGGCAAGTTATTGTTGCAGTAAGGCAGATTAATTTCCTAATAAACTTCAAGAGATTTCCTAATACTTCCTGGCGAGTAGGATATTTATATAGAAAAACTATAATAGAGCATATTTCATAATTGCAATATTAAAATTTTGAACACTGTTAAGTTAAATTATACCGAGGAGGTCATTCAATTCTCTGTTGACCAATTGGGCTCTTGTTTGCAGGTACATGACGGATGGAGGGCTCAGCCTGTACACGAGGAGTCTGAGCCGAGGCCCAGACACAGCAGCTTCCAGGGACGCCGTTCAGAGGGGACTGCATGATGTGGCCGTGGATGCAGACAGGTAATGCCATCAGCGTGTTTGATGGTGAGGAGTGCATAAAGCAGTTTCACAAGTGAGATCCCAGGAGTTTTACAGTAGAAACCAAATGAATTTCTATCCTGATATAATCATCATTTTGGAACATTTTGAAAACTAAGGTGCTTTTGCTTATAAGAATTTTCATTCTGTATACTAAAAGGAATTGTGTCGCTGGTGAGAATATTTAATACATTTCAGGTTACATGATGGCAAATTTTAATATCTACAAAAGCAAAATTATAAATGTAGACCTTTGCTCCATCCCTGAAAAGAACCCTGGCTGGTAAATTCCTTTCAATTCAGATGCTCTCAGTTCTACCTGGGGGCTAATGTTATAAAGATTAAAACATAATTCTAATTACGTTGTAAGATGAGCTTGCTGCTTTTCATGATGGCTTTCTTGAAATCATACAACTAAATCTTGCTTTAGGCTAACCTCTTTCGTATCTCAAATTGCTTAAAGGCTGGTGTGTTTTCATATACTGGTTATTATTTTGCTAGGAATTGTTTTGCCAATTTTATCAGAATCACTGCTGTTTGAAAATATTGTCTTTGTGAAATGTTGTTGTAAGACATACTCTGACCTGATTTTACCCCTTCTTCACTCAGAATGTTTGATTTCTTAAGCAAGGAGAGATTGCCTATTTCTAGAATTACTGTATATCAATCCCTGGAGTAGTTCTTTAATTCACTAAGAAAGAGACAAAATGTTAAGACCTAATGTATCCACATTCTGAAATAAGAACTGTATATAATTCGTTGTGCATTTTAATACAGCTGACTCCTAAGGCTAGACAGTGCATTCTGATATTAGTCTTCAGTTCCTGCTCACCAAAATGCTGTTGATGTTTTAACTCTTTTTGGCCTAGATCCCATCCTGTGAATATGCTGGTCTCCTAGGCTGTATATAAGGTGTCTGTGTGAAGCATGTGGTTACAATAAGCTTATACAAACTTTTATTCATTGTGACCCCACCTGAACTATTCTTCAGCTGTTTTCCCTCACTGACCCTAACTTCAAATACAATGGTCCTCTTTCTGCTTTCAAACTGATGCTTCCTCTGCCTAGAATGCCCTTTTCAGTTTAAATGTTACCTTCTTAACAAAGTGTTTTCTGAGTAGCTAAGGCACATTTCATTTCCAGTCACTTTCTTTCCCATTATCTTAAATTATTTTCTTTAGTGTACACATCAATCCTAATTATTTGTTTACACATTTATTTTGTATCTCCCTCACAACAGTATAAGCACGGGAACGCAAAAAATTTTTGTCGCATTTATGATATGTTGAGCTTTTAACAAACGCTTTTGGAGTGAATGAACAAAGGAATGAATATAGTGATCCATTCACATAGGCTGGCAATACAGTCCAGTTAGTTGAAGAAACAAACAAGTCTGGGGAAAGAGACAAGATACCACAAGGATATTATATAAGAGTGGGAATATACTGTAAGGATATTATATCAGAGCAGGAGTGAGTTATGTTGGGAAACAGGAAGTAGTGATTAGAGGGAAAGAAATCCAAAGGGCCACATTTTGAAACTAATGACCTACCTATTGTTAGCTGACAGTGGAAAACATTAAAGGAAGGGGAAAAAAATCTGTTGGTCTTTGGGAATGAGATGTATGATGACAGAACCCGTCAATTATTACAAAGGCAACTTATTTTGGAGACATAGGGGATAACCAGGTCTCTTTGCTCCCTTAAGGCTTCAGATTGGGGCCTGGCTGACGAACCTCAGACCAACAGAAAGATGCAGGGCTCCATCTAATAAATTAGGACCAGCAAAAGTCATTATTCTTGAAGTGTGGTACCTGGATCTGCAGCATCAGCATGAGTTAGGAACTTTTTAGAAATGCAGATTATCAGCTCCATTGGAGACTTGCTGACTTCGCGTCCAGCAATCAAAGTTTTAATCAGGTGATTTGGATATACACTAAAACTAGTGAACCACTATCTTAAAATTAATAAGTAGAGGCTGCTGCTGCTGCTGCTAAGTAGCTTCAGTCGTGTCCGACTCTGTGCGACCCCATAGACGGCAGCCCACCAGGCTCCCTCATCCCTGGGATTCTCCAGGCAAGAAGATTGGAATGGGTTGCCATTTCCTTCTCCAATGCATGAAGGCGAAAAGTGAAAGTGAAGTTGCTTAGTCGTGTCCGACTCTTAGTGACCCCGTGGACCGCAGCCCACCAGGCTCCTCTGTCCATGGGATTTTCCAGGCAAGAGGACTGGAGTGGGGAGCCATTGCCTTCTCCGAAGTAGAGGCTAGGCCTATGAAAACTAAACACTGAGCATAAACATGTAAAAATAAAACAATAACATTTGGAAATATTTACTTTATTAACTATGCTTTGTCAAGTGGAAGAGACTATTAAAATAACAATGGCACGAATCTTTATTGTATTTTTGACACTAATCTTTTGCTGTTGTTATTCAGTCACTAAGTTGTGTTCAACTCTTTGTGACCCTCCATGAACTGCAGCATGCCAGTCTTCCCTGTCCTTCACCATCTCCTGGAGCTTGCCCAAACTCAAGTTCATTGAGTCAGTAATGCCATCCAGCTATCTGATCCTCTGTCATCCCCTTCTCCTCTTGCCCTCAATCTTTCCCAGCATCAGGGTCTTTTCCAGTGAGTCAGCTCTTCGCATCAGGTGGCCAAAGTGTTGGAGCTTAGGCTTCAGCATCATTCCTTCCAATGAATAGTCAGGGTTGATTTCCTTGAGAATTGACTGGTTTGACCTCCTTGCTGTTCAAGGGGCTCGTAAGAGTCTTCTCCAATACCACTATCCAAAAATATCAATTCTTTAGTGCTTAGCCTTCTTTATGGTCCAACTCTCACATCTGAATGTGACTATTGGAAAAACCATAGCTTTAACTATATGGAAGCTGTTGGCATTTTTGATGCCAAAGATGTTGGCAAAGTGATGTCTCTGCGTTTTAATAGGCAGTCTAGGTTTGTCATAACTGTTCTTCCAAGGTTTTCATGAGGTTTTCAAGGGAGGAACACTGAAATGGTTTGCCAGTCCCTTCTCCAAAGGACCACATAGTGACAGGCCCTGACTAGCAGGGACGTGCCCTGCAGCCAGTCAGCACAGCTGGATGACAGGCCCGGGGCCATGGTTGTCCCACTGCTCTGGTCTTGGTGGACGTGTAAACCATCGCTGGCCATCGGGTGTCCTTCAGTGTGCGGCCACGGGTCGAGGCAAAGGCCCTGCTGGACAATTCAGTGCTGGGAAGGAGGTCTGGAGAAGGCTGGAGCAAATGTTCTTCCAAGGAGCCAGTATATTTTAATTTCATGGCTGTGGTCACCATTTTTTAAATTAGATAATGATATGTTGTATCTGTCTCTGTTGGATTCAGATTTTGAAAATCATGTAAAAGTTTTTTGAAAGAATTATGTAATATGAGGAATGCAAAAGAACTTTGTCCACGTTTATATATTAAACAGCAGCATGGTGATAATGAGAATCCTACTATGGGAGCTGTTTCTCTGCTATTATAGATAAATCTCAAGCTCTTTTAAAAGCATATATTCAGACAGTGATTCCAGAGGCATATCATTTTAAAGTGCATCATCTTACATATTAAAGTTGTGAAAGTCCTTGTGTTAACTTCTATTGTTTTGTAAAATTTTCTTAATTCTGATATCCACTCCAAATAGGATAGACAAGAATGACTAAAGGTACTGAGGAGTCTTTCAGTTTGAAATAAAACCTGCTTAACTTTGATTCATTGCTCCTTAAACTTTTCTCATCACTGATTCCCCCACCTTTTTCCCTATAATGATAATTTGCTCCTATAATATTTTAAGAAATGCTTATTTAGCCTAATTCCCTCATTTAGTGGATATAACAGTGCAAGGAGTTGAATATTTTAACTCCTTGACTCGTAGCTTCCCAACTACCTTAGTTGTTTTTTTTTTTTCCTGGATTTTATTTTTTATTGAATTTTTAAAATTTTTTATGACATAATTTGTGATTAGTTTATTTTAGTAAATTGGTAAATGCTAGGACTTGCAATAATTCACTAAAAAGAAAGTTTTAAAAGCAAAAAAAAAATCCTTAATGTTTTATTACTTTTTTGTATTTCTTAGATATTCTTTCTGGAAGGTGTATCAGTGAAAAATGCACTTGTGTAATGAAAAAGTACCCAGCTGACTAGGATGGCGGTGGATTTGAATTGTTTGTGTTGCTGTAGTGATGGTTACAGGCTCCCCTTTGATCAACTTCTGAAGAAAATGTGATGAACAATAGAGAACAGCTGAATTCCTCTTCTTAGCAGATTAAAACGGCCCCAAAGAAAAGAGCAGAGCTTCCAACAGCCAACTATTTTGTATTTCAAGTATTCTGTTAATCAAAGATTGCAGTTATATCTGTCCAACACCAACCCCATTTCCTCAGTAACCTAAGAGAATATTATAGAATGGGACAAATCCTTGTAGACATGCTGGAGGCTCTCTGAGAACTTCAAAAAATAAATTCATAACAGAATGTGTAGACTCTATCTGTTTGGAAACTAAAAGCTGCTTATCATGTGCCTTCAACAAGCTGCTCAGCCCTCTCCATCAGCAAACTCACCAGTCTGTAGTTGCTTTTATCCTTTTGTAAAACCTATAGCAATGAATGTAGATTTAGTCCAACTTTTAGTTCTCTCAAACTAAATGGCTCAGACGGTAAAGCGTCTATCTGCAATGCAGGAGACCCGGGTTCGATCCCTCTGTGGGGAAGATCCCCTGGAGAAGAAAACAGCAGCCCACTCCAGTATTCTTGCCTGGAAAATCCCACGGACAGAGAAGCCTGGTAGGCTACTGTCCATGGGGTCACAAAGAGTCGGGACATGACTGAGCGGCTTCACTTTCACTTTCACTTATAGTGAGATCAGTCCTAATTCACATACACTTTAACGGTTTCATTGAGCTTTTAAAAGTTAATTTTGGGGAGAGGGTGGGAGATGGTTATTATTTTGACTTACTAATTTCTATTA